CCTGTCTTCATTCTCTTTCTACATATCTGACTCCTCCTTAATTTCCTTTGTTGGATCATCATCACTCTCCCGCCCACTAAGTAGGTGTGTTCTCTAAAGTTCTATCTGGGGTCCTCTTCTCTTTGCTTTTTCTGCTCTCTAAACTGGTGACCATATCAGCTTCTCATGGGTTCAGTTATCATCAATATTCAAATTGCAGACCTAATCTCTCTTTTGGGCTCCTGTCCCACATCACCAACTATTGAAAATTTCAAATTGTATATTCCACAGACATTTTAAACTCAGCATTTCTGAAAGAGAATCATTTAACTATATCCCCAAAACCCACCTCTCTTTCCCATTACTGTAAAAGATATCACCATCCTCCTCAAAACTTCAGTGTCATCCTGATTCATTCACTCATCCCACATATATAATCATTTGCCAACGGTTATTATTTCTATCACTATAGTAGCTTTCATATATATCCCCTTTACTCCACGCAATCATTACCCTCATTTAAGCCTTCATTACTTCTCTCTTAGACTATTGCAGTAGCCTTCTTCAAACTCTTCTTAAAATGTAGATCTAATCATGCCACTATTGTTCACAAGAACAAACCCCAAAATCTGAAATGGTCTGAGAAAGAAATTTAGTAGGTAGCTTGGTAGACAAAGAACCAGAAAGAAGAGATGGTTCCCCTCACAAGTCTTTATGAGATTACATTATGTAGAGTTCAAACAAAGGTATATGGACATTTGCCTGATTGACCTTATGTAAGTAGAAGGTAGTCTCCAAGAGAAAGGCAGATTGAGATGTATGTCAGCAAGTAAATCAATCTATTCTGGGGAACGCAAAACACAACTTTTGGGTGCACCCAAAATAAGACCTGTGGGAACCCAAAACAAGTACTGAGTGGAATCTAAACATTCCTTACAGCCAACCAGTTTCGTAGGAGTATCTCCGAGGTCAGTCTGACCTCTCATTAAGTTTTTGAGTAACATAATTTTTTAGCCACATTAAAAAAAAGTTCAATAAAAGGTTCAAAGCTAGGTTCAAACAATATTAAAAAATGATAAATAATCCATGCCACCCTCTTTTTTAAAAAACCCCAGCACTTCCTTATTACCTCAATAATCAAATAAAAACTCCTCTAATTGTTATTTAAAACTCTATATAATCTGTCTCTAGCCTACCTTCTAGGCTTCTTACATACCACTCTTTTATATACTGTTTGTGATCTAGTCCAGGGCTTCTGAAACTTTTTCCACTCATGACCCACAGTTTAAGAAGGACTGGTCAGTCATACTGGCCAGTTTGTTGTACTCCACATGTACGAAATCCCATCTCCCATCCCCATGCTTTTGTACTGGTTGTCCCCTCATATGCTGTCCCTCATTATCTCAGACTCTTAGAATCCCTGGTTTCCTTCAAGACTTAACTTAAATCCGTCTTTTCATATGAGACCTTTCCTGATCCTCCTCCCCCTCCTCAGCTGTCCTACTCAAAAGATAACATTGTGTCTGCTCTATAGATATTTGGCATATACCTATGTTTGTGTTTTGTATGTACCAATAAATGTATATTTTGTCTCCCCCATTAGGATGTAGGTTCTTTGAGGAAAGGGACTGCTTCACCTTTTTCATTGTATCTCTAACATTTAGTTGAGTGCTGGGTACCTAGTAGGTACGTAATAAATGTTTGCTTGTTTCATTGAGCAATTGCTTGCAGGGACAGTTTTTGTTTTTATCTTTAAATCCCCAGTGTCTAAAACCATGTCTTGTACATAGTAAGAGCTTAATGAATATTTGTCAAATTAAACTGAATCTCATTGGATCCTCACAACAACACAAGCTGGGGCAGTTGTTTTTGCAAGTGTTTTTATGACTGTTATGCAGTATCACATGGTTAGTGTAGAAGAAGCAGACTCAAACTGAGATCTTCTGACTTCAAGGCCAATAGTCTCTCTACTGTGCCACATTGCCTCTCAATTAGATGACATTTAGGGAAGGACATATGTTGAGAAGTACAAGTCATCATCATAAGTGTTCTTTCACAGACTTGCACACCTTTTCCAGATCATCATATCTTTATTGTTGGAAAAAATTCACCAAGGCTAAGGGAGATTAGGAAAATTTGTCAGTCCTTAATTGCTTAATGGTTTTTGGCCAGTCTCCAAAGAATACTGTCATTAATAAAAAAGACAATGTTTATGACTGCTTTGGCAGCACTAAAGAGAAGAGCATAAAGATTAAGATGAAATAAGTGAAAGTTACCTATACATCTGAAATCTACAAAGTAATAGTCCCATTATCTGCTTTCAAGGCCACAAGGCATGAGTTTTTAGAGGTAATGGTTGGTATTCATTAGAATATTGAAACATAGAGTACAGTGTGGTTAAAGTTGGGGAGGAGAAAAAATATGATGAAAATTGAGTATTCCAGTTGAGAGAGAGCCAAGATGAAACAGTAGAATTGGTCTCTGGCCACCTGTTTATACAACCACCTTCAAACCAAACAAATAAGAATTTTAGCCATTACCCTGCTGAGCAAGTGTCCTTCAACTCTACAGAAAATCATACCTTTTTCTAATTAAATAATTAGATTTTAATTAATAATTAATTTTAATTAATAATTTCTAATTAATAAGTCCTACAGAAATGTGGAGATATACATAGTATACTAGAAAAAATATTGCCTTTGGAGATATAAAATCAGGTTTTCACTTGGCCTCAGTTTCCTTTTCTGTAAAATAAGGGGGTGAACTAAATAAAGGGACTCTAATACGTTCCACCTCTAAAACCCTACGATCTTCAAATAAAACATTAGAGCTTCCTTCAAGTCTTTGATAAAATCCCACCTTCTGCAAGAAGCCTTTCCAGATTCCCCTTAATGGGAGTGCTTTCCCTCTGATCATCTCCAGTTTATCCTGTATATGGTTTCTTTGAACATAGGTATTCATGTATTATCTCCTCCTATTAGACTATAGGCTCCTCAATAGCTATGAATTTTACCCTTCTTTCTGTCCCCAGCACTTAGGACAGTGGCTGGTACCTAGTGGGTATTTAATGCTTGCTGACTGTCTCACTTTAGGTAGAATTAAGCATATTGAAATTTAAGACTCAGGCTAGCTCAATTTACCTTATCTCCTATATTATCCCCAAACTCCTAGGGAAGTAAGTGGCTGTAAGCCCATGTGTAAACTCAGGAGGGAGTCACAACTATAAGTGGTAGAGTTCAGTGTGGAAATACCAGCAAATCTAGGACAAGGTACTCAAGGTGAGCCAAAGCCTGATACTGGCACATTTTGAGACCACAGGGAGGATGGACAAGAAAAAACAAGGCAAGAGAGAAGAAAGGAGTAGCCCCCAATAGTCAACTTGCTATTGATATTCAAAAGTTTCATGGAGCTGGCTATCATTCTGCAGTTTGATGCCATTCAACTTGGTGGCAACTAGGTCACCCAGGATCCTACCTTTGATGACTAATAAGGCTCACCATCTCCAAGTACTCTGTCCCTTAAACCTTTTTTTTTTCTTCTGACCCAGAGGGAAACCATAGCTCTCCAAGATGGCCAACCTTTTGCTAGCTAACCTTAAAAACTAACGTGAATGACTGATAACAGCTTTCTTGGACCATTGGATTTGGAGCTGAAAGGAACTTAAAGATCATCTGGTCTGGGGGGTCCTGAATTTTTTTATAATATAAAATAACTTCTCCAAAGCCACAGAACTACTGATAACCAGAACTGAAACCCAAGTCTTCTAACATGGATGGATGGATGGATGGATAGATAGATAGATAGATGGACAGATAGATAGATAGATAGATAGACAGAATAAATGTAAAATAGGCAAGAATTTTTGACAATGAATTAAAGGTGGGGAATTGTGAAGAAAGAAAGAGATTTCAGGGTCCTCATCCTGGCAGACTGAAAGAAATGCATTACTATCAATATAAACAAGGAAGTTAGATGGGAGGACAGGTTTGGGAAGGAAATGATGAATTGAACTGATAGTTCTCTGACTCTACCTCAACTATGCCCCCTTTAGAAAGTTCAATGTTGAGGTCCTATTGGTTTTATGGTGATATTGTTAACCTGTTGGTTATATAAACTCTATGTTATAAGTCCTATTGGTTATATGTGATTATGGAAAGAGGCATTGTCAAATCTTCTACAGAAATCCACACTGGTCATGTAATCAAATGGTTACATAAGCCCATACTCTTTCTCTCTCTCAACCCCTTACCCCCTAACACAGAGATTCAGACAATTGTGTTATAATTAAAAAGCTGTGGAAAAATTTTTTTCATGGCCTCTGATATTCATTCAGTGCAAAGAGGTACCAGAAGGGCTTTAATTAAGTACCAGTAATTGGATAGCATCCTGATACAAGGGAAGGATAGATGTCTAAAATACAGGAAAAGATCAAAGTATGATAACATTCACCTGCATGAAATACCAGCTTTAGTTAGCTCAGGGGAAAAAAAAAATTACAAGACTTCAAATTGCTTCCATCTGTGAATTTTTCTTAAAGCCGTTATCCTGGGAGTGGGGGAAAGGGTGGAGTGTGCAAAAGTGATTCATAAAAACCATGAGATGAAACCCCAAGGAAGATGACACCCAAGTGTAAAGTTATATCTTCACTCCTCCTGCCTGACTTGCCCTCCCTATCTTAGATCTATGGGGTAATGAAACAGATTCTCCCTGGACCTAAAAAGGATATTTAAAGCTTTTGCTAAACATGAGAGTCTGATTCTCTGGAGCCATTCAGGCTGCTTATTGACTGATAAAATCATCTGAGTTCTTATAACTGGGCTAAGGAATCAATACAGAGCAATGCTCAGATTCCAACTCATGACATACAGGCCCCCAAATGGCTACTAATAATTTTAAAACTTCACAACAAGTGGCAGGTTTGTGCTTTCAGTCTGTCATTATCTCTTTATTGAGAAATCTCTTCTGTGTGAAGTATATGAGCATCAATATTCACCTTCCTTCCTCTCTGTCTGCTATTCCAGCTGCTACAGAAGTGTCCTTCTCCTTTGATGTTGGAAATGGGCCAGTGGAGATTGTTGTTAGGTCTCCCTCTCCACTCAATGATGACCAGTGGCACCGGGTCATTGCTGAGAGAAACGTCAAGCAAGCAAGTCTGCAGGTGGACCAGCTGCCACAGCAAGTGCAAAAGGCACCTACAGAAGGTCACACACGCCTAGAGCTTTACAGTCAGCTGTATGTGGGTAAGTAACAGGAAAGTAATATCACTCCTATCACCCTAGTCTATGCAAATAGCTTCAAAACTACAAGAGACAATTGCTTCTCTCATATGGGTAATATAGATACAGATATTTCTGTGAATTGGGGAGTTAACCGTTTGAGGTTTTCTCCCAATTCTGTGATTCTCTGATCCTTTAGGAGACAAATAGCTGTAATATTTGTGCAGTGGGAAGCACTCCTGGCTTGGAATCAGGAGACCTGCATTCAGATCCATCTTTTTAATTTACTATCATTATGATAGTGGGCAAGTCCCTCTCTGTTTACATATATAAAAGCCTCAATTTTTGTATATGTAAAATGGGAATAATAATAACGGGTATTTATGTAGCCCCTTGAAGGATGCTTCATGTGCTTTACATGTTTAACCTCTCATGTGAGCTTCCTAACACCACAAGATATGTACTATAGGCTTTATTATCCCCGTCAGCAGAAGCAGAATTTGAACCAAAGTCTTCCTGAATCCAGCCTTCTATCCACAATCACTTGCCACCTTGTATTGTAGCCTTCGCAGAGCTGTGTGGGAAAAAAATATGCTTTGTATATATCTGAATGCTATTCAATAAGCTCTCAATGCCAAACAAAAATGTACCTTGCAGTAGGTGCTTTATAAATGTGTTGAATTCATTTGAATTGAAAACTATGCTTCCTCCTCTTGGAAATAAACAGAAACACATGTGTTTGCCCATCCCTCACTAGAGTTGATAAGTAATAAAAGGCTTTTTATTTCTTTTTACTTTATTTCATTGGATGACCAAAAAGGCTATATGTTGGATAATAAATGCAAATAAAACTGCAAATGTGGGCAACCTTAATAAACATCAAACTCCCAGAGGACTAGAGTCAGCCACATAGGTTAAGCTCAGATACCAATGCTTTTGTTTGTATGGGTGAGTATTCCCCAATTCAGAGTCTCATTTAACATTTTCCAAATCAGTATAAAATGAGACCAGTCAAAATCTATTTCCAAGTACAGTGATTCTTCAAGTTTGCTTTCCAGAGTAAGAATCTTTTAGGAAATAAGTAGTTGTCTATTGAATGGAAACGATGGACGTTTGAGACACTCTGGTGAATACTTGTAGAACCACCCTGAGATTCCCAGATGTTTTGCCACTGAAGCTTGACTGGGCTTACTGTAAAATTTTACTGTCTCAGTCCACTGCATGAAATTCTGAGATTTTATCCACGTTGTTTATCCCTCCAACAATATAGATCAGAACCCATCCACAGCTGCCCTTCCTGAATGAATCTTGTCCATCAAATACCACCAGATTTTAATTGGTTTCTAGCTGTAATTCTCTCCCACCCATTAACACAGAAAAGTTCCTGAACCACTCAAACTTCAGACCCTTTGTTGATTTTATAAAATAAGGAAATAGAAGGTTGTGTGCTCAATGGACAAACTCCAGTACAGATAGTTCTTGTTTTACATAAGTGGACCATTCCGCAGGCCTCTACATAAAACAATTTTTACATAATGCAAATTTACCCTTACCCACCCACTTCACTTAGCCTATATAACAAAGGTATACACAAAATAATACCATTAGACAAGTCATAAAGTATACTCAAATGCAGATATAGTAAATACTGTATCACAATAATAAACAGAATTATGCAATGAAAGGTAAAATTTACAATAAAGTATGTAGAGTAATGATAACATAAATGTGCAGTATGTTGCCCCTTCCTTACCCACTTCATCTAGCCTTTATCACTGCTGGTTGACTGTGCAGCATATTTTATAAAGCCATCAAGAAATGTATGGACAGTGGCTTTCTTTTTTTCATTGCATATCTGATGTTAGCAAGCAATAATATCATCGGCTAGTCTTTGAACTCTTAAAAATTTTGAAATATTTGGATCCATATTTTCAATACCAGAAAAAAATTCACTCAAATGATTAAATGCTTCTGCCAACTGCTTCATTGTGAACCTTTTTGGTTCGACCATGGGTCCTGAAGCTTCCTTTTCTTCTGCAATCTTTGCAACTAGCAACTCAATCAGATTCTCATTCAACAGTTCTTCTTCCTGAGATGTAATCAACTCCTCCACAGCATGCTCTTTTTGTTTTGTTTTGTTTTATTTTTTTTTTTTGGATTGAAGATTTCTTTCAGAATTCTTTATGTAAAGGAACATTTGCATAATGTGAATTTATGTAAAGTGAGAACTGACTATAGAGCCTGGGATAACAGGGATTATAGCTGCAGTAATGATCTAGAGCCCTTCTGATCCATGGTTACCATGTTTAAAATGGTAGCCTCTTAGACCTACAGACCCAGGACATCAGCAGTCAACAGTCAGCTCACTGTGGGGTAACTGGCTCTTGCTATCCAAATTTGCATAGAACTCATGTCTAAATTAACCATTTAGGGTTCTAGATTACTAGAAAGGTATCTTATGCCAGAGAGTACTCTAAATCTAGAAAGGCACCTACAGAAAGTCACACATGCCTAGAGCTTTACAGCCAGCTGTATTTGGGTAAGTAACAGAAAAATAGTATCACTTCTATCACTTAGGCAATGCAAATGTCTTCAAAACTACAGAAAGCAATTTCTTCTCTCATATGGGTGAGTTAGATACGGATATTTCTGTGAATTAAAGAATTAACCCTTTGAGGTTTTCTCCCAGTTTTGTGATTCTCTGATTCTTTAGGAGACAAATAGCTGCAATGGAAATGAGGCCCAAGATACTTCATCAATAATCAAAAAGTTTCTTTCCTAGTGTAGGATTTTATAACACATGGAATAGAATGTCTTTAGGAATACTTGTTTCTTTTTATCCAAAGCTTTTTGGTTTTGTATCACAGTCATTTCTGAGGGAACAAAAAACTCTCTCCCTTCCCCATTCTGTTTAAATCCTCCCACTAGCCAAGAAAAAAATTGATAAAACACATGATGCTGTGACCATGTATAATAATGTACATAACATTCTGCCTGAATTGTCCCTCTATGTTTCTACTGAGAGTAGAGAGGAATGCTTCATTCTCTATTTTCTGGGATTATTTTTGTTTTGTTTTGTTTTGTTTTACTTGCTCAGAGTTCATATTGTTTTAGGAATCTTTTCCTCAAACTCTGGTGGCTAGTAAGCCAACCATCTCCAGACACGTGTGTATATGTGTGGGTGTGTGTGTGTATGTATGTGTGTGTATTGTGTGTGTACATATGTACATATATTTGTGCTTCCTTTGGGGGGAATAGAGATAAAACTTTGAAATTCATAGTCACTGCATATTTAAAGAGGCTTTTCCTTCAGTCCGACAAGCATTTATTAAGTTCCTACTATATACTGGGCACTAGGGATTCTAAGACAGAAGTGAAAAAAAAATCCCTGTTTTCAAGGAGCATATCTTCTGCTGGCTTTTGAGATCAAATGAGAAAGAGACACATAAGGAACAGGGTATAGGACCATTACTGGATGGACTAAGCTAAAATACTCCTCAAGTATTGCACTTGGAAGGTTTTAAAAAGATTGACTAGTACCAATAGTATCCACAGCAGTACCGTATAACAGCAGTGCTGCTATCAGAAGTCAGAAGGACCTGAGTTCAGGTTCTGCTTCTGGTACATGTCAGCTGAGTGGCCATGGACAAGTCATGTAACTTCTCTTTGCCTCAGGCAACTCTCTAAAATTTTAAATTAGAGATGAAGCCAAAGGAATCTTTCTTACATAGGGACCTACCCCCAGCCCTCATCAAACAAGTAGTAAAAGGTTTACCAAATAGCCCTTGTATTGCTGGGAGACTGAAGATCATCTATAAATAAAAGGTCAGGTGACCTTTTCAGAAATGAGTGCCCTTGAGGATGCAGTATTTATCCTTGTGCAAACAGGTTGGATGTAATTAAGCTTAGTGTAGTCACTATGATTGCTCTCTTCCTTTTTTTTTTTTTTCTTTTTCATAGTAAGTCTGAGCTCCTAGCTTTTAACTTCCTAATAGCTTATGTTTCGGTATTATGATGGCCTGACTGGACATCTTCTCCTAAGAGGGCTTCTCCAAATTTTTCTACAGCAGTAATAGCCTACAGGAGGCTGGTCCCAGGGAGAATCAGCCCTACTTGTCAAGCAGTTCCCTGAACTGTGAAATCCAGTTACACAAAAGCTAGCTGTCACAAACCATTGGACTTGGAATCAGGAGACAGAGTCTAATCCATGCTCTGCCACTGTGTGACCTACAGCAGGACACTTAACTTCTGGGTGGGAATTGAAGGCCTAAAAAAAGTCACTCTTAGGCAGCCAGTTTCTTCATCTGTAACATGAGGAGTCTGGACAGGGGTCATCTTTAAGGTCCCTATCATTCCAGACATTTTGCACTTTTAAATTAAATGAGGCAGAGGTTCATGCATCCTTTCTGCTTATACCTTTGTTCCCTTGCTTCTCTTTCTCTCTTCTTTTCTCTCTAAATTGTCATACCCATACCACCTCTCCAACATGGTGCCTCTTTTATTTATATTTCTCGATTAGCTGATCTGAAAGTGGATGGTTTTAGCCATCAGTCACTAGAGGAAGGTGCACTGTTACCAAGAATGTCCTTCAAAATCATTGTCCAGGGGTTCCACGTATGTGCCACAGGTACCATAGTATCTAACCACAAGACACTGCTACTGATAAGGTATCAGTCACTCCTTCTGAAAAAAGCCTAATAAAAGAAGGAAAAAGGAGTGCAAGCTACATAGAATCTTAAAGGCAGCAAGAAGAAATCATTACAAGGGGGATGGCTTGGAGTCATGGCAAGCAGTGGGAATTCAGTTCTACAACTCTGACTTAACAGAGGAGAAAGTAACAGAGAAATTTTAAAAAGCCACAAGGAGAAAATGATTACTGGTATTTATCTAGAGCTACACTCAGGACTTTTCTGTGTTCTGTCCTATAATAAGCAGCTAGCATATGACTGGTTCCCTGGATGGCCTGGCAGTAACTTGGCCATCACACAGCTTTCCCTAGTCATGGTCCAGGTGCTGGGGCTCAC